ATTAGCTATGATAGAATTATTTCAAAGCGGAAGTGTTAATTCGAAAAAAGTCAATTTCTGGTATGTTTAGTCATTTCTTAAAAGTAACAATATTGATTGATCGATAGTTAATGAAATGTGCTTGTTTGACCTTTAATATTCAATTAGAAACAATAATATACGAAACATAATTATTGAAAGAAAATGAAAAATATTTCAGTGAGTTTTTCTCGTTTTCTAAAATAGTTACAAAATTACTTTTATTAGAAATATGAACAATCATTTAGCGAGTATTGATAAGAAGGCGTATATAGTATCAGTACAATAATTTATTTATTTTTTCTCCTCAATACAAATAAAAATATCATTAAAATCTTGAATGATTTTTACAGTAATTATTATATATTCTATTCTTATTGTTTTAAGAATACTAAAATATCGTTTGACAATTCTCGAAATTAAATAATCTTTTATTGCAACAGTAAAATTAACATAGTATAAGAAGACTCCGTTATAGAAGTATCCCGACCTTGACAAAACTAATCCAGACTTTATTCATATTACATTTCAAAAAATTCTTTAATACTCATGTTTCGATTTATTTACTCAACGCAAAGGTATTTGAGCAGAGAAGTTCATAATTTTCAAAGCGATTTTCTTTCCAATCCTTGCAAGAAGAGTCAATGTCCCTGTATTGATGTTCCACACTTTTTTTCTCGTAGTTTCGCACATCTCTAGTTCATGCTCAATACTCAAAGTATATTTGAGATTTATTCATTTGCGTTATCTTTTTACTGTATAAATAATTTTTCTATAAATTAGGCATGGCTTTATCTTGGCGTAACTCAAAGTGAAAATGAACAGGATGGTCCTGCTATATGTGCATTAAAAAAGTAAGAATAATGATGTTTTCTATTCTCTTATCGAAATTCTTTTTTTTGTTTTTTTGTTTTAAAGATGTGTTGAACTTGATCCAAAAAATTTACAAGCTTATATAACATTAGCTTCGTGTTATGCTAATGAAATGTTAACAAATGAAGCACTTGATTCTTTACGAAAATGGTTAGCTAATAATGAAAAATATTCTCATTTATTAACCAATCGTCGATCACAAACAACAACAACAACTGATGAACCAAGATTGATTGATGAGTATGTTTATTATTAATTTAGTTTTTTTTTTGCTAAATAGTTAATTTTCTATGTGTTTATTTAGGTTGGCTTTTGAAGAATTACAAGAATTATTTTTACAAGCAGTTTCATTATCAAATAATCCAAATGATATTGATTCTGATCTTCAAGTATGATGAATTTAAAAAGAAAAATTTTTCAAATAAAATTAATTTTCGATTCTTTGTTTTTTCTTCTTTAGGTATGTCTTGGTGTATTGTTTCATTTGCCTGGCGATTATGATAAAGCAGCAGAATGTTTCAATACAGCCGTTCTTGCTAAACCCGATGTAAGTTTTCATTTTATTAAAAAAACAACAAAATGAACAGATAAATGAAAAAAAAAAAAAAAAGATAACTTATTATCTATCATTTTCGAAGTTCTTAGAAAAATAAGTTATGTTGCATGTTTTTGTACTTTGCTACTGATAACGAGGTTATAAATTCTTATGCAAGATAAGAATTTTCAAAAAGAATGTAGTAAATAGTCCATTAGACTCTTCACATTCCACTATTAATATCAAAAGAAATTTAAGTTTAATGAGACGAATTTATTATTGGAAAACATCCAAACGTAGTTACTTTGCTAATAAATTTAATTAATTATCTATATAACAGATCTCGAAGAGTAAAATGGATCTTTTAGTAATTTTTATTTCGAAATAGAAATTCGTTATTCAAAAGATTTAGCTATTAATCCTCTAGAAATTTGTATATTCTAATTAATAAAACAATGCTTCCTACTTTAGTGACATGCAATATAAAAAAGTAATTGAATCTAAACTACTTTCTAGCTGGCAAGAGAACTTCCTTAGATGCTCATTTCCGATTTCAATGATGTTTTTTTTTTTACTGATAGATACTACATAATCATCTAATAAATATTCTAATGGGATTGAGATTTCTATTGAGATTTGAATAAGTTATGGAATTTTTTTTTAAAGTTTCAAGTTTTTGAGAAAATCTTATTTTTCAAATTTTGCTTTGAAATTTTCTACGTAAGAAGAACTCAGCTAGACTAATGTTCATAAGAAAATTCAAAAGATCAGATCTTTTCACAAATCTGAAGTCCTATAGAAGTTTGTAAAAAAATAGACATACAGTTTTTCTCTTTTGTGTTTTTGCAAAGATTTGTTACCACACTTACTAATTGTTCAAGTAATGTTAGTTTTTTGACATTGAATAATCTAACTACGTAATTTGAATATCGATAATGCGAAGATTGATGATTCTTATCAAAATTAGGCATACAGCTGTCATTTATCTATACCTCTCACTTCTATATCGATTTATGGTTGTTCATTTGATATCTAAACCTGTCAGTTAGTTGCAATAAGCTATAATCATCCAATGTTTGTTAAATCAAAGCATGATATTCTCTCTCGTAAATCATACGAACATGAAGCTTAACAATCATGCTAGGTTCAAACAAAAATAACATCAATTCACATACTATCATTTAACTCATTGACGACGTCATGAGTGTTATAGAGCATTAAAATGAAACTTTTTTTTTTTTTTTGATCAAAAACAATTGTTTTGAAATGGCGAGAACAAGTTGAGTTATTGAAAAAAGTACTGAGAGAATCTTCATTTTGCTACATCTGTTATTATTAAAATAAGATAGAAGATTCATGACGGCTCAGCAGAAAAATTCGAAATTATCAGAATAGCTATAGAAAAACTTCTGAAAGGTTCAAGTTTTCTGAAAGTTGTCTTCCATATAAAGTCACAATAGTCTGAATTTTCGCCCCTGTTTCTTTAATATCCTTTGCTCGATTAAGCTGAACATTTTTTTTTACAAGCACTAGACACTGTCTAGGGCAAGTTTCTTTTCATTATTTGTTCCTTGAATAAACGAGTGAAAATATCGAACGTACTTCAAAAACATGCATATGTTTTCTTAATAGAGCTACCAAAAGTCAAAGTAATAATATTTTTTGAAACATTTTATAGTATATGTGTAAAAGCTTTCAGCTCAATCGGACATTCTAGTGCGAAGAAACAAGAACGTTTCTATACTTTTTTTTTCATAAAGAAGTTAATTTGAGAAACATACGATTCATTATTTGCTTTACATAAATTTGATCGTATAATATCTAAAGATCATTTTTGAATCCCGATATTGTAGTTCAGGTTATAAAATAGGTACAAAATAAACAAAAATCTCATGTTATGCAACAAGTAGAGAGTATCCTCAATAAACCATTTTATCTTTTAGGATGCTCTATTATGGAACAAATTAGGTGCAGCATTAGCTAATGGTGGTCAAAGTGAAAAAGCAGTTGATGCTTATTATCATGCATTATCATTATCACCCGGTTTTGTACGTGCTCGTTACAATCTTGGCATTAGTTGTTTTAATTTAAGTGCATATAAACAAGCTGTTGAACATTTCTTAACAGCACTTAAACAACAAAGTGATGGTATGGGTCCACAAGGTACACACGTGCAAATGTCCGAAAATATTTGGCGTACATTAACAATCGCTATCGGTCATTTGCAACGGCCAGATTTGGAACAGAGCGTTGCAAAAAAAGATTTATCTAAATTACTTCATGAATTCCAAATTGAGTGAATTCATTTCTAAACCTATATACGTTTCTTCGTTTTTTTTTTGTTTGTTTTTCCTATTTCTTTTTCTTTTTTTCTCTTGTGTCCTTTTGGTTCTTTGTAGCTCTGTTCAATGAGCAACAGATTTGTGAGTTTGTGTGCGCGTACGTGTGTCTGTTTTGGGTTTATTCTCTACTATGCATTGCTCCAAGCAAAAAACTAAGCTTCGTTTTGTTTTTTTGTTGTTTTCTTTTTTTTTGCATCTTGACTATTCCCGCATATCTTTTTTCTCTTCCTTTTTTCGTTTTGTTCGATATTTATTTTCATGTGATCATTCGAACAAGTTTCTCCTGCTCCCATTCTAAACATATACATATATAGATTAGTCGATCTCTCTCTCTCTCTCGTTTCTTTTCTTTCGTTCTATTATGAAAAGTACATGAAAACAAAACCAAAAACCAAAAAAAAAAAAAGCAAAAAATCTATCCGAGGTTCTTTAATGTTTCTTGTCCTTGTTTCTTCTTTTTCTTTTTCGTTCGAAAAATTAAAAGACAAAAAAATATAAAGTTTTTGTTTCCTAACGAAAAAAACCTAGACTTTTCTTTATAGTCTAATCAAAAAAATTCGTATAATGACAATGAAAAAAAACAAAAACACCATCTTCGCTTTTCTTCTTCTATGTTTTTCTTCTCATTTTTTTTTGTTTCTCCTTGTCTATTGAGCAAAAAAAAAAGAAAAAAAGTGAATAGAAAAAAAAGAAATAGAGAGACTAATTTTTTTTTTATTCACTTTTTATTCTTTATTGAAATTTATGTATCCATGTTGAACAGTCAATCACTTAGAAATCAGGAAGTCTTAGCCTAAGTTTTAAACATCTGTCCCACGTCCACTGAAGTCTCTCAATTATATTAAAAAGTTATGGGGAAATAAAATAATATGCCTCGGTTATGGAATGTACACTTTTTTGTTCGTTTTCTTTATACGTATTGTTGGGTTTTTGTTTTTTTTTTCCTTATTAATTGTTTTACTTCTGCTGCTAGTTGTAACAGTGCGTGTATGTGTGTTGGAGTGATGAAACAAGTTGATGTAACAGCCGTATCTTGAAGACGAAGAAAATAGCGTCATACAAAGGAAATATTAAAAAAAATTAATAAAGGATGAGGCAATATGGGGAAATGTCTTTTTTTTTTTCGTTTCTATTTCTCTATTGATGGTATCATTACTAAAGCAAACAAGGATAAAATTATAAAGTATAAATAGAAAAATTTTCATTTAGATGTTTGCGGTAAGAAATAAGCGATGGCTAAAAATTTATTATCAATTGATGAGAAATATTTATTGATTACGCGAAATTTACAAGAAACTATTGGAGATGATCAATTAAAGGAGATTTTGAGTGAAAGAGATCTTAAAGTTTATTGGGGAACAGCAACAACAGGTCGACCACATATTGCATATTTTCTACCTATGATAAAAATAGCAGATTTTTTACATGCTGGTTGTGAGGTAAAACTTTTATTGTAATATATGTTTAAAATATTAAAATATTATTACAGGTAACGATTCTATTTGCTGATCTTCATGCTTATTTAGACAACATGAAAGCACCCTGGGAATTACTAGGTCATCGTACATCTTACTATCAACATATAATTAAAGCAATGTTAAAATCAATAGAAGTACCATTAGAAAAATTAAAATTTGTACGTGGTACTGATTATCAACTAACACAGTATGAATAATAATTTATTTCTATTAATAATTTCTATTAATCATTCTAGAGAATATACATGTGATGTTTATCGTTTGTTTTCTATTGTTTCTGAACATCGAGCTAAAAGAGCTGGTGCAGAAGTTGTTAAACAAGTAGCTTCACCTTTAATCAGTGGTTTATTGTATCCTTGTCTTCAAGTATTATGTTTAGGCAAAGAAAAAAGGAAAACATTTATTTATTTTTTTCGTTTTTTTTTCCTACTCATAGGCTCTTGATGAAGAATATTTACACGTTGATGCTCAATTTGGAGGTGTAGATCAACGAAGGATTTTTACATTTGCTGAAGAAGTTTGTTAATGTTTATTTTTTTTTAATTATTGATCTCATATGTTTTTATTTAGAATTTACCAAAATTAGGTTATAACAAACGTATTTACTTAATGAATCCAATGAGTAAATATGAATTTTGATTCTTTACAAGATAATTTATCATATCATTTTATAGTTCCTGGCTTAACTGGTGATAAAATGTCTGCATCTAATGAAAAAAGTAAAATTGATTTACTTGATACATCTGAACAAGTTAAAGTCAAACTTAATGCAGCTTTATGTGAAACAACAAATATTGAACAGAATGGTATACTTCTTTTTTGTAAAAATGTTATTTTTCCATTACTTAAAAACGAAAGTTAGTCCTATCTAAATTTGGATTATAACATCATAAATATTTGTTATATATTTTGTAGAATTTATACTTTTACAATCAAGTAAAAATAATCAACTGATATCATTTGATAATTATCAACACTTAGAAGACACATTTATTGAAGAGGTTATTTGAAGATGATTTAATTTAATTTTAAAATTTTTTGTATTTTAAGGATATCAATGCTAATGATATTAAAAATGGTCTTGCAGAATGTCTTAATAAATTACTTGAACCAATTCGACAAGAATTTCAATCTGAAGAGATGCAAAAATTAATATCACTAGCTTATCCAACATCATAGAACTCGTTGATAAATTATCAATATAGTGAAATTTAACTATATAACCTTGAGTTTTATAATTTTTTCTTTGAAATATTTTGTTGTTATATTGTTTAAAATTTAAATCTTAATCAATAGTTTAGAATATTTGATAAGGAGTGGTGTGGATTCATTTCTTCTCGGAATATAAATACATTCCAAATGAATCAAGTGAAATAACCAGGACTTTAACAGGGTGAAGTGCTTGTCCTGGCCGACTTCTATCTGATGAGGCAGCTTGTAACAGAGTTCAACTGCCATGGCTTCAATCGATAGGGGCTCAAAATTTCGATGGGCAACTCAACCTTCTTGCCCTTGGTTACGCTACTAACTCTCAATCTAAAGCAAAAAATGGTTCACAAGTTATGATCTACAACTGATAAATCGCTTTTGAATCGAGACAACACACATTATGTAGACCCAAATGAGCTATGGATACACTGAAAAGAGATATGCCTTTATTCATATCCATTAGCAGATTTGCTGTTCGTAATTCAGAATGAGTATGAATTAGAAGAACCAAACCTACTCTCAGTAACGTCTGTCTCTTTTCAAAGTTTCAAGTCGGAGTTTGAAAGACAGTTTTTCTAAACTACGGCATTTATTATTTAAAAAAAGTTCCGTGAAAGTGCAATATCTTCGCAGTCATACTAGAAGAGCATGAGCTCTTTTCAAAGTATACATAGTTTATTCGAATCAACATAATGCAAATAGTCATGATTCAAAAGTAATTAAGCAATTGTAGGACTTCTCTTGTTAGAAAAACCTTCTATACAATAGAACTTTAGTAAAAAAAAAAATTGTTAAAAAAACAAAAACAAAACATCATAACTTTGGTCTAAAAATCTATTTTAGATTAATAAAAAAAATGACTGCAACTAGACAATTTATTCGAAGTGACTTTGATCATTTACTTCATTCATTTGTTGATGAAAATCAATTTCCTTGGCTTGATCCTAGTCTACATGAACGGTATTAAATATCTCAACCATATATCTTTATTTCTAAAAATTATATTCATCTAGACAATTAACTACACATGATATTGATATTAATCGATTATTTACTATCGAAGCTCTAAATGATGAACATGATCTTGTAGCCGATAGAAATTTAACTACTGGTGAAATAATTGGTTTATGTGAAGTAAAATTCTTTTCTTTTTTTTTTCATTTTAAAAACGAAAACTTAATACATCTTGGATGATATTTAGGTGCCAATTATACCTAAACCAGTAGTTAATATAAATCTTGAAGATGATCCACCATTATATCCTAATGAATTTCTTCAACCGGCTCCAATGTCATGTCCTTGTTTACCAACAACTATAAATGAAATATCAAATGAAAATAATCAAGATTTAGAAACAATCCTTAATAGAAATGATACAGATACATTATTGTCAAATGATGATCGTAAGATTCATATGAAATGATTCATATTTTATTGGAAACCATTTTTTTTCTTTTTTAAAAAGATCTTTTAAAATCTTTATCAAATGAAAATGATCTTGGTATGGATCTTCCATCGAAAACAACTTCATTTAAACCAAATTTTGATAAACAATATGAAACATTTCTTCATCAATGGAAATCTGATCTTGATGATATTAATTTACAATCAACATTCAATCAACAACAACAATCATCAATTATTGATGCACCTATACCAGTAAAACTTCGTCTTGGTGGTCTATTTGATATTCAATTACCAGAACTTAAATTTCGATCAACAATGAAAGATATAAATAAAACAGCTGAACAACAATTAAATCGTTCATATGCTATTGAATTAAATCCAAATGAAAAACTTGGAGATTTTCGTTTAAGAGTACCTCATATGGCTATTCAAGTATACATATTGTTGTTGTTTCTTTTTTCTAACTGATTTATTATTCTTCGTTTTTCTTTTTTTAATGAATAGTATCCATTTGAATTAGATACATTTCAAAAACAAGCTATTTTAAGATTAGAAAATAATGAAAGTGTTTTTGTTGCAGCACATACATCAGCAGGCAAAACAGTTGTTGCTGGTTAGAATATAAATTCAATAATTAGATTGATGATATTAAATATTTATTTTTTATTTTAGAATATGCTATTGCTCTTGCACAAAATCATTCAACTAAGTAAGTGACATGATTTATGAATCAATTAGGAAAAAAAATGACAAGACAAACTAAAAGTTGTTAGTGCAATCCCTACAGAATTACAATGTGAAAAACGATGTAGCTACTGTTGCTAATTCATGGGAAATTGTTTTATTCTATCGATTTTGAAACAAAATTCCTCATCCTTCTTTAACTTAATTGACTAGAAATGCAATAAGGAAGTAATATCTGCGCCGGAATTAATAAGAGCTGACTGTGACCTCAATAAATTGATAAAGACAACAACTAGCAACCTCCGATTTTCAACAATCGAAAGAGTAGAACTTCATACATCTTTTTATCTAATATTATACGAGATAAAATTATTTTCAAATCTATCATTCTTGCAAAAAGTTTTTGAAAATATAATGAAAATGATGTTACGTTTTGATTTTGACATGTGCTTCCAATAGATGGACTCCAGATTTCTAGTTCAACAGAAGATTTATCTAATTATATTTTTTCCATCTCAATGCTGAACAAATAAAATTGCACATCTATTCGTTCAAATTATATAGAATTCTGTTGATCGCTAGAAAATTTTCTCGTTTTTTATCACAACTTTGCTTGAAACAGGATACTGCATTTACTCATTTTTTTGAATGTTTTTGCAGAAAATCATAGATCGCTAACTGTTGCCTTTGTCGAATCATTGGGCTTGCTCATATATCAACAATAGTTGTCAAGGCCTGCGATGACTCGTGGCTAACGATGAAGCTTCTCCTAGTGTCAAATCATTTTCAAATCGAGACGATTTGCATTCGATGAGTAATTGTGAGAAATACAAAGTTTTAGAATGAGTCGGTTTGCCGCGCTTTCGTTCTTGAGATATTAGGATTTTACTGGGTTTTGAAACAAAAAGCTGTGATCCCTGTCAGGTTACGTGGAAAACCGACTTTCGAATTTGGACTTCAAACTTTACCTGAACGATGTTCTCAATGATATTAGTGCATTGGATGAGTTGTAACTTTTCTAGTATCTCCTAAGCTGAAATATTAGATATTCGGAGTTCTCTCATGTGTAAAAGAAAGTTTTATTAATACATGTATATCTTTAGCAAGAAAACAAAAACTGCACAATGAACTGATCTCACTGAGAATTTTCTTGATGCAAAGTTTGAAGTCGAAAGTCGTTTATCCCTGTGACTTGAGAGTCAATCCAGCATTTTGTTGAAAAACAGTAAAATTTTGATTTCTCAAGAACGGATGTTCATAGAACCAAATCATTCTAGAATTTTCTATTACTTTCTAGAGTTCATCAAATGAACATCATCTCCATCGAAAAGCGATTTAATACTTGCGGAAGTTCCCTTGTAAGATGTCTATAGGAGCACTTAAATTTCTATCGCTATACTTCGACCCCTCCTTTTAATTAATGTTTCACAGAAAAGCAAAAATATTTATTGAGCATCGTAGATTAATCAGATGAAATAATGTGCTTCAAATGAATGAAATCAATGTAACTAAGAAATGAAGTTCTGATAATTGAAAAATTCTTTTGCAATTAGGAAAATATCGAAATTTTTTAGAGCATTTTATACAAGTCCAATAAAAGCTTTATCAAATCAAAAATATTGTGATTTTAAAAAACGTTTTAATGATGTTGGTCTTCTTACTGGTGATGTTCAAATAAATCATGAAGCATCATGTTTAATAATGACGACAGAAATTCTTAGGTATATATTTTAATTTTGATTTTTACAATTAAAAGAAATTTTCTTATTTGAAGATCTATGCTTTATAATCGATCAAATACACTTAAATCTCTTGAATGGGTTATTATGGATGAAATTCATTATTTAAATGATACCGAAGTTTGTAGAGAAAAAAAATTATTTTAATGATGAATAATATTTTTAATAGAGAGGTTTTGTTTGGGAAGAAGTATTAATTATGTTACCTGATCATGTTGGTTTAATAATGCTTAGTGCAACTGTATCTAATGCTCGAGAATTTGCTGAATGGGTTGGGTAAAGTTTATTTATTATTTTTCTCATCAAAATTTAATATTGAAAAATTTAGACGAATGAAACGACGAAATGTTTATGTCATTTCAACGTAAATATATACATTTTGATAAAATGAAAAAATTTACTTTTGTTTTTATTTAGATTCAAACGACCAGTTCCACTTGAACATTTTCTTTATACAGGAAATAGTACGTCAACGAATAAAGAATTATTTATGACAATTGATGCTGAACAAAAATTTCTTGAACGAAAGTATGTTAAATGATAGTACAAGAAATTATAAGAAATAATTTTTTTGTATTATTATTATTATTATAGTCATGCACAAGCAGTCGCTGCTAAAGCAGCAAGACAAAAAGATCGTCAACAAAATTTTGGGTCTAAAACTCGATATGATACTTTAAATACGAATCAGGTATAAGCATAATAAGAGTATATTTTCAGATTGGTCTCTACAGACCATGGCAGATACCTTCATAATGCTGCTTTCTCCTTACGCACTACTGTCACATGTATAGACGAAAACGAAATCTACTGTAGGATTAGTATAGAATACGACGAGTTTTGAGATAATAAATTACATTTTTTTCTGTCAAAGCTTCGCGGGACGCTCTAGGCTACTGTGCACCTTTCGATTCTTATATAGGATTGTTTAGAATGAAAGAATTAATTCGTTTTGTTCACAACCACACGTTTTAGGTGCTCTCCGTGGGTAGAAAAATACTTTCAAGGCAATGTTTTTTTCAGCCAAGAATATTCATATCAAGATACTTGTGCTTTGCTCTACTTCCCACACACTGTAATGCATTACGATTAACATTTTTTATCATCAGCATATATTAACAACAAGTAGTAATTGACAAA